TTTCAAACTTGCGGCCCTGGTCATGGTGAAGTTTTGCTGGATATCCAAAGCGTGGAATATAGTAATTAAAGATATTTTAAGAGGGGTCACGTGACCAACGGGCAATATGATCGCTAGTCACCAGAGCTCCGCAAACCCGATATCTCTTTTTCATTATTTTATTACATTATTTTGATAATTAACTCTTAAAAAAATAACCAAAGACTGACTAGCAATGCCAAATACCCAAGGAGGCAAGAAACATGGCGCTTCTCTGAGTTCTTTGCCTATAGGTAAGCGTCAGAAGACAGCCCCCAACATTTGGCTCCATTTCTTAGGTGTTAGCCAAGCAACAGAACTCTTTTGAAGCTATGCTACAACGGTTGTTAGCTGAGGCGGTGGAACCACTCAACAAAGACAGAGACTTTAGCGGCTGTTGAAGCACTTACAATTGACATTGAGAGATGGATGAAAGTGGTTGACAAACTGCCTACTAAAGTGGAAAATCTGCAAGGTGGAAATAGGTGAAAGCAAATGGAAAATCAACGACTGTTCTTCACAACTGGAGAAGATGCAGCTCAAGATGGCTGAAATGGAGGACCGTTCACGTCGCACAAATGTAGGATTAATTTATTTCAAAGATGGAAACGAGACTGACGATCCCATCGAATTCCTACAGGGAATGATCCCTAAATGGATCCCATCCATATCTCACAAGGTTGAGATAGAAAGAGCCCACTGCATCTACTCGGGAACTGGGACTGGTAATGCTTCAGACAGACCAAAGATGCTGATCTTCAAGGTCCTCTGGTACAACGACTACCAAGCCATTCTATAAGGAGTCAGAGCAGCAGAGCTCATTCACCATGCCGGCAAGGTATTGCGGTTTTTCCCTGACTACAGCACCCACACCTCTCAATGCCACAAAGCCTTCAACGATGTCCAGAACAAACTCTGACTGAGGGGCATCCAATCATTCCTAGTCTATCCAGCTACGCACCGGGCCACACACGGGAGAGCGCCTGTCATTCACCACAGCACAAAACTCTGAGGAGTACGTGGCATCACTGGGAGAGGACAACCACGAGCACCGCAGTGAGCACCACGCCGCTGGTCCTGTTGTGAGAAGGAAGACTCAACAACGGGGCCATGCAAGCACCGGGGAACCTATGGATTAAATGAACTGGTCAAGAGAATTTATCCACAACTTTGAGGAACATTTGATCTAATTGCTTGTCATTATTATGAACTTTGACAACAGAGCACCAGCAAGCTAGCTAGCTAGTGAACTAGCTTTCAAGTTGGCTTGGTGATTGGGACAGTAACGTTACAGCTAACGTTAGCAGCTAAGTAAGTCATCATCACAACTGTTAGCTAGCTAAATCATTATATATTCAGTAGTGTCCAGGATAACCTACATGTTGTTGCAAGTTTATCTAGCTTCTACAAACACATTTTTGTATTTTACAACTAAGTTACGTTTACAACGTTCTGTGTTAACTTTGTCTGGTGGTAGCTTGCTAGCTAGCTTAGCTAACCTAGCCGGCAGCTAGCTAGCTAGCTTGTTTCATGTTGCAATGACAACAACTGCGTAGCTGGTGAAGTCAGCTATCACCATCACCACTGAATTATTTTACACGTTAGTTCTCCATGTTTGTGCTACATTTAGCCTTAATCATCCAGTCAACTGAGCATTTCTTGCCATTCTCATATCTCCTTTGTGTCAGTTAATGCAAATATTTAGGAAATGGAGTCAGACATTCAGGGAAATGGAGAGGGTTTTAGTGATAGACACCGCTGCGTTCAGTCACAGGTCTAACATTGAGGGGAGAAGGAGAACTGTTGTGTCCTAACCTGTCAGGGAGTGGAGGGATTCTTTGTTTCAATTGTTCAAATTAAATGTCTCAACGTATTACATAGGAATAAAGTTGACATTGCTCTATTGCAAGAGACATCTTTTAGAGGGTGATGTCTGTAGACTTCAAAACAAATACTACAAACTGGCAGCTGCTTCCTGCTTCACATCTAAATCTAAAAGGGTGCGATCTTATTCTACAAATCCAATTTACCCCTTACAATTGAAAAAATTGGAAATGATAAACAGGGCAGATTTATATAGTTACATACAGTATGTTCCACTCTGTATGTAAGGAAAATAGCATTTGTATCTATGTATGCTCCTAACTCATATGACAAAGATTTTCTCCCTTCTGGAACCAGAAGTTTACTCAATTTATCGGATTATACGCTTATTATTAGAACTGACATGAATGCCATTATTGATTCTAAGATAGATAGATCGATCTGGACCTCATAGCTCATCACAAGTGAATTCTTCCAATGCACTTAATCTCTTAAAGATCTTAATCTTAAGAAATTAAATCTTCATAATCCCACAACTAAGGACTATACATGCTTTTCTGCTAGATTTAAGACTTTCTCGAGAATTCACTATGTTTTAACATCTACTGATATTACAGGTAACATGGAATTTATTAAAACAATACCGGCCATTCTATCTGATCATAATCCCATTCTTTGTCAATTTCAAATGTTCCCATTGAAAAAGTGTGGACTGAGATGGAGATTTAATAATACTTTACTACATAACTCTGACTTCATCTCAGTTTAGATCCAATTAAAAATCATTTTTATTATTAGTCATTCATTTCAATTATCATTCAGTGGAGGACTCAATTATGGTATGGTTAGCTGTAAAAGTTTTCATAAAAGGTAACACTAGACCTTTTTCATCTCATATAAATTCAACATCCATTTGCACCTCCAGCTGCCTGCGTCCTGCTGAATCTTTGTCCTTACAACTGCTAGAAGGTACCTATTTTACACCAGGATATACTCATGCCCTCCAGTACTTTTCTCAAGGTGTACCTAGTTTATGGAGGTCAATTCAAGAGGAGAGTAAGTGGTGATACTCATACTGCCCATTTGGGCCCTTTCTGGGGTAGTTGTTTTTCTTCTTTTTTTCAATTTGACCAAAAAGCAGAGTGATGGAGTGCTGCATCAGATGACCTGGCCTCCATAATTCCCCAAACATCAACCAAATTGAGATGGTTTGTGATGAGTCGGACCGCAGAGTGAAGGAAAAGCAGTCAACAAGTGCTCAGCATATGTGGGAACTCCTTCAAGACTGTTGGAAAAGCATTCCAGGTGAAGCTGGTTGAGAGAATGCCAAGAGTGTGCAAAGCTGTCTTCAAGGCAAAGGGTGGCTATTTGAAGAATCTCAAATGTAAAATATATTTTGATTTGTTTAACACTTTTTCGGTTAGTACATGATTCCATATGTGTTATTTAATAGTTTTGATGTCTTCACTATTATTCTACAATATAGAAAATAGTAAAAATAAAGACAAATCCTTGAATGAGTAGGTGTCCTAAAACTTTTGACCTGTAGTGTATGTATATATATATATATATATATATATATATATATATATATATATATATATATATATATATATATATATATATATATATATTTTTTTTTTTTTTTTTTTTTAAATGGTCATAGGCATAAGCCATGTCAAAATACGTAGAATTGCAGGAAATGAGCTTTTAAAACGATATAATTTTCCTGGGGGAGAACCGCCAAACCCCCCGTCTAGGGGTTGTGTCAGGGGGGAATGATATTCACAATAGAAAATCTCACTCCAAGATTCCTTCGAAAGTTGGCAGCACTGAAAATAGCACTGACATATGTAGCTACATTTGGACATGACATTCATTACGAGTTCGTAAACATATCTAACAGGTTATCAATAAGCCTCTTTAACTGTAGACATGTTATACAGGCTAAAAACGAAAGGTCTCCTGTCACAACAGCTAGTGAGCTAGCAGTCCGAATGCCCTTTAGCTGAAGAATTCAACATTAGTTGAAGACTTCTTGAGTAAACAACACATTTTGCAACCATCACAAGTTCATCACTGTTTCGATTATATCTTCACATGCTTATGCCTTTGTTAACGTGTCATTTGTGGGGGATACCTACTGATACAGACCTGCCTTTTATTGCATCAGCCTCATGAGTTGTGTAGCCAGGAGGCTAGGCGTCGCCTCAGTGGATTCCTGGAATAGCTGCGCTACCCACAGTCACACAAACTTGCATGATTAGCATAAAGGGAGAATAGGCAGCCTGGCCCTAATAATTCTCAAAAATGGTTGAAATTGGGTGTTAAATAACTCTTACCATGGCATATTGCTTGGTCACCTGAAAGCTCTTTCTTATGTTAAGAAATGTGAAATTGAGGTGAGATCGAATTGGCGCATGAATACTGAACAATTAAGCTGTGCTGTATAGATATTTAAGAGATCCTTTTCCCTAACACATCCTGTCTCTCCATCCCCTGCCCTGTATTTACCCTGAAAATAGTGCTGCGCTTCACTGACTTAGTGGTAGATGTAACTCACTCCTCTCTGCCTAGCTCTTTGAAGAAATATCCACAATAGTTAGTTTTAATTTATCTTCCTATCCCATACGACAGATGGCTTATTGCAGTCCTGGTATTATTCCAATAAATGTTGCACTGAGAAACATCTGCTATGCAAATCCCGCCGTATTGCTGTCACTTTGTCTTTGCCTGTCAAATTAGAGATACAGCTCTCTACCTCGTACCGGAGCGTTGGGCTGCCTGCCAGACAAAGGCCATGAAACACAGCTGCCAACTCTGTCCACCGAACATCAAATAGAACTCAAATTACTGCTGGGAGAGGTCCAATCCTTCTCCCACTGAATCTCATAAAGGATATCACATTTAACAGCTGAGATCCCAAAAGGATCCCAAAAGGATGCTCCTTCTTCTACACTACTGAGTCCTGTCATTAGTGCTAGTTTATCTTGTATACTGAAATGTCAAAGGCTGTTATGTCATAGGGCACTGCATATAAATCCCTTGGAGGTTTGACCTGAATAGTATCTTAGAGTTGACGAACAAGAAGGACAGACTCATGAAAAAATAACAGTGTTTGAGAGTCAGATGAAGAAGAAAAAGAGATTAAGTTCTAAATGGAGCTTCTGCTCTCTATAGCCACCCTCTCCCCAGTGACACAGAGATTGCAGGCGGGCAGCAGCACTGGAGACATGCGGAAACAGGGCCCACAGGCCTGTGTGTGGGACCACAACTAAAGGCTAAAGGATCTTAAACACTCCCGCAGGAACTAATGGTGTGGACAGAAGCCCAGCCCAAACCGTTGGCGTGAAGAACATAACCATGGAGCAAGCCATGGAAGTCATTGGTTTGTCAGGGATATACAGTGAGGGAAAAAAGTATTTGATCCCCTGCTGAGTTGTACGTTTGCCCACTGACAAAGAAATGATCAGTCTATAATTTTAATGGTAGGTTTATTTGAACAGTGAGAGACAGAATAACAACAACAAAAATCCAGAAAAACACATGTCAAAAATGTTATAAATTGATTTGCATTTTAATGAGGGAAATAAGTATTTGACCCCCTCTCAATCAGAAAGATTTCTGGCTCCCAGGTGTCTTTTATACAGGTAACGAGCTGAGATTAGGAGCACACTCTTAAAGGGAGTGCTCCTAATCTCAGTTTGTTACCTGTATAAAAGACACCTGTCCACAGAAGCAATCAATCAATCAGATTCCAAACTCTCCACCATGGCCAAGACCAAAGAGCTCTCCAAGGATGTCAGGGACAAGGCTGGAATGGGCTACAAGACCATCGCCAAGCAGCTTGGTGAGAAGGTGACAACAGTTGGTGCGATTATTCGCAAATGGAAGAAACACAAAAGAACTGTCAATCTCCCTCGGCCTGCGGCTCCATGCAAGATCTCACCTCGTGGAGTTGCAATGATCATGAGAACGGTGAGGAATCAGCCCAGAACTACACGGGAGGATCTTGTCAATGATCTCAAGGCAGCTGGGACCATAGTCACCAAGAAAACAATTGGTAACACACTACGCCGTGAAGGACTGAAATCCTGCAGTGCCCGCAAGGTCCCCCTGCTCAAGAAAGCACATATACATGCCCGTCTGAAGTTTGCCAATGAACATCTGAATAATTCAGAGGAGAACTGGGTGAAAGTGTTGTGGTCAGATGAGACCAAAATGGAGCTCTTTGCCATCAACTCAACTCGCCGTGTTTGGAAGAGGAGGAATGCTGCCTATGTCCCCAAGAACACCATCCCCACCGTCAAACATGGAGGTGGAAACATTATGCTTTGGGGGTGTTTTTCTGCTAAGGGGACAGGACAACTTCACCGCATCAAAAGGACGATGGACGGGGCCATGTACCGTCAAATCTTGGGTGAGAACCTCCTTCCCTCAGCCAGGGCATTGAAAATGGGTCGTGGATGGGTATTCCTGCATGACAATGACCCAAAACACACGGCCAAGGCAACAAAGGAGTGGCTCAAGAAGAAGCACATTAAGGTCCTGGAGTGGCCTAGCCAGTCTCCAGACATTAATCCCATAGAAAATCTGTTGAGGGAGCTGAAGGTTGGAGTTGCCAAACGTCAGCCTCGAAACCTTAATGACTAGGAAAAGATCTGCAAAGAGGAGTGGGACAAAATCCCTCCTGAGATGTGTGCAAACCTGGTGGCCAACTACAAGAAATGTCTGACCTCTGTGATTGCCAACAAGGGTTTTGCCACCAAGTACTAAGTCATGTTTTGCAGAGGGGTCAAATACTTATTTCCCTCATTAAAATGCAAATCAATTTCTAAAATTTTTGACATGTGTTTTTCTGGATTTTTTTTGTTTTTATTCTGTCTCTCACTGTTCAAATAAACCTACCATTCAAATTATAGACTGATCATTTCTTTGTCAGTGGGCAAACGTACAAAATCAGCAGGGGATCAAATACTTTTTTCCCTCACTGTATTAACCCAACTGCAACTGGATCCCACTGATGCCAGCAAATGTTAAGATATTTACATTGGGTTAAAGTCATTCTTTCTACAGTGTTTGTCCTTGTCTGAACCTTGATATCAAGTTGCATTGTCACATGCAAAGTCCCCACAGAACTCCATACATTGTAACTGTGGGCTTTAGAACAGCTGTATGGCTGAGGATATACAGTACCAGTCAAAAGTTTGGACACACCTACTCATTCAAGGGTTTTTCTAGATTTTTACTATTTTCTACTTTGTAGAATAATAGTGAAGACATCAAAACTATGAAATAACACATATGGAATCATGTAGTAACCGAAAAAGTGTTAAAGAAATCATAATAGATTTGAGATTCTTCAAAGTAGCCAACCTTTGCCTTGATGACAGCTTTGCACACTCTTGGCATTCTCTCAACCAGCTTCACCTGGAATGCTTTTCCAACAGTCTTGAAGGAGTTCCCACGTATGCTGAGCACTTGTTGGCTGCTTTTCCTTCACTCTGCGGTCCAACTCATCCCAAACCATCAATTGGGTCAGGTTGGGTGATTGTGGAGGCCAGGTCATCTGATGCAGCACTCCATCACTCTCCTTATTGGTCAAATAGCCCTTACACAGCCTGGAGGTGGGTTGGGTCATTGTCCTGTTGAAATACAAATGATAGTCCCACTAAGCGCAAACCAGATGGGATGGCGTATCGCTGCAGAATGCTGTGGTAGCCATGCTGTTTAAGTGTGCCTTAAATTCTAAATAAATCACTGACAGTGTCACCAGCAAGGCACCCCCACACCATCACACCTCCTCCTCCATGCTTCACGGTGGGAAACACACATGCGGAGATCATCCGTTCACCTGCTCTGCGTCTCACAAAGACACAGCGGTTGGAACCAAAGGACTCATCAGACCAAAGGACAGATTTCCACCGGTCTAATGTCCTTTGCTCGTGTTTCTTTGCCCAAACAAGTCTCTGCTTCTTATTGGTCTCCTTTAGTAATGGTTTATTTGCAGCAATTCGACCATGAAGGCCTGATTCACACAGTCTCCTCTGAACAGTTGATATTGAGATGTGTCTGTTACTTGAACTCTGTGAAGCATTTATTTGGGCGGCAATTTCTGAGGCTGGTAACTCGAATTAACTTATCCTCTGCAGCAGAGGTAACTCTGGGTTTTCCTTTCCTGTGGCAGTCCACATGAGATCCATTTTCATCATAGCGCTTGATGGTTTTTGTGACTGCACTTGAAGAAACTTTCTTTCTTGAAGTTTTTCAGATTGACTGATCTTCATGTCTTAAAGTATTGATGGACTGTCGTTTCTCTTTGCTTATTTTAGCTGTTCTTGCCATAATATGGACTTGGTCTGTTACCAAATAGGGCTTTCTTCTGTATACCAACCCTACCTGTCACAACACAACTGATTGGGTCAAATGCATTAAGAAGGAAAGAAATTCCACAAATTAACTTTTAAGAAGGCACACCTGTTAATTGAAATGCATTCCATGTGCCTACCTCATGAAGCTGGTTGAGAGAATGCCAAGTGTGTACAAAGCTGTCATCAAGGCAAAGGGTGGCTACTTTGAAGAATCTCAAATATAAAATATATTTTGATTTGTTTAACACTTTTTTGGTTACTACATGATTCCGTATGTGTTATTTCATAATGTTGAAGTCTTCACTATTATTCTACAATGTAGGTGTGTCCAAACTTTTGACTGGTACTGTATATCAAAAGATTCAGTTGTGGAGAAAAGTTTGGGGTTGATTTTGTCTGTTAGGAGAAACAGACATGTACGTGCCATGGCCTCAGATCCTGTGGTTTGATGAGACTATCACAATTTGATATTTTATCTTTTAACCCCAAAAAAGTTTCTGTCTGCCGAGAATAGTCTCTCCTGGGAGACGAGCTTTAGAGTGTGTGAGGCAGAGTAGTCATACAGTATCTGTCAGAGTGTTGATGGACTGTCCTGTGGATCAGCCTCAGTCTGGACTCCTGGCTCTCTGCACATTGGTATTCTGCTGAGGTTGATGGGAAGCAGGTCTGGCAGTGCCTCTGGCATGCACTCTGACGGGGTGATTTTACCACCTCTCCTCAGAGGAAACAGACAGTCACTGCCTCTTGCACTCCTCACGTAACCTTGTAAAACCATCCGGAAGTCTCGCAAGCTTACATTCTGTTTCGCTACAGTGCATCGGTAATCAGCCGGTAATTATGAGGCTATTCCTCATGCATTGCACTGTGTGTGTGTGTGTGCGCGCGCCCCCTGGGAGATGTGAGCTAACATGAGGGCTGTATTGCATTGTGCTGTCAGTGAATAGAAGGAATGCTGTTCTTCCTCCTCTGCAGGGCCAGCATTGTGCAGAGGAGGATAATTTACTTCCAGGATGAAGGCTCCCTTACTGTCAGACTGTGTGAGAAAGGTACAGCATATCTGTCCTATACGAATATGACTTCTCACAGAACAACCCCATGCTTTTTATATGATCTGTTACTGTAGTAGATTATAATGAAGATACTGTATGTAGTCATATTAAAAAACAATATTTATATTAGGTCAAGCAAGATCACCATTCTTATCTTCACTTTGTATGCGTGTGTGTGTGGGGGGGGGGGGGGGGGGGGGGGGGGGGGGTCGTGTGTGTGTGCGTGTGCGTGTGTGTGTGTTTCAGAGGCTGTGTTTGGGGAGACCACAGAGAAGCCCCCTCCGGAATGCTGTGCCTGTGGGACGGCCAAGTACAGAGTCACCTTCTATGGGAACTGGTCGGAGAAGATTCACCCTAAAGACTACCCCAGTAAGTCCTCCACTGCAGTCGTATATGTACACCCCCACACACTGCACATTACTGTACAACTTCCCACCTGTTGCTCAACTGTCAATTTGCTCTGGAGAGTGAAAGGAGCTGCACCATTATAGTCATGAAGCAAGACATTGTGGTTTGGAAGAAACACGAAAAGGTTACATTTTACCCTGGACATATTTACTGTCTGTTGACTAGAGTAACATACTGCATGAAAGAACAGCACACCGTAGTTTAGAGCAGTGGTTCCCAACTTTTTCTGAACCGTGGCGCACCTTGATAGGATATTAAATTCTGCGGCACACCTAAAATGTCCCTTCTAATTTATTTAGTGGTAATGATCTCATCTGATCCATACTGCAAATCATCTATTATCTGTGACATTTCTTATAGGTTTGTTTTCATAGTTCCTTACTCATGATGGTTAATTTGTGTGTACCCCTTTAAGAGCTTCCTATCAATCTGTGCCAGATAGAAGAACATGTAGCTCTGGTAAAATAGGTCTTTAGTTTTGAACGGTTTGGGCTAAAGATGAGCTGCTTTCTGCATTGTAAAGGTACAACCATGGACGCAAAGCCATGCTCTGTTTGGTTATATGGCAGAGGCTGTGGCATAGCTAAGCCCAGAGCCATATATTAAGAAAGAAATGACTAATCAGACTAGCCTGTTCTAATCGTTTTCACAGACAAAGCAAAATTATACAAATGAGTTTGCTCGTGATGCGCACCCCTCAAAATGATACAAACATAACAGCCTGAGTGTATTGGACTTGAAACAACAATACAGATGTAATCATGTGCAATGTAATGTATTATCAGACCAGCACTAGTGCTCCCAAGTCAAAATTCCATGTGCATTCCGCAGGTCACGTTTATAAGTGTAAAAAAAAAAAAAAAAAGATTAGGAAAGGTTTTGCTGCACACACGAGAGTTCCTCACGGCAAACCAGTTTGGAACCACTGGTTTAGAGGATTTCTCTCAAATTATTTGTGTGTTGTTGGGATTTAAACATCATTTTCAGTAAGCCTAAGTCAGTAAAACAGTATGATATTGGATAGCTGTTATGATACAGTGTCCTCTTTTGGAGCTGATGATCCGAACCGCACACATATTCCCTGCAGTCAGTGTTAGGTAGTCACAGCTTACAAAAGGAATCGCCATAAATAATTTGAGACGGGAAGAGGCTCTTTTGGCAGGAAATAAGAAAAGAGTTTTGGTACATTATAGCACATCACAGGGATTCTCTATAGGCCTGATGGGTTTAAAGAGATTAAATGTATAGTTTACCTTTCCCTCCAGATTTATATATCATCTTTCACGGAGGAAAATGAATCATGGAAAAATGTTATTACATTCAAGAGTTTCTGAGGAGAGTCCTGAGTGACCAAAGTAAAAACTATTCTATATACAAATTGGTTGGTGTGTGTGTAGTGTGACAGGGTCTATTCCAGCCTCAACTCTTTCAGTAATGATGAGGGCTCCACCAGTGGAAGTGCAGGCCTGTCACAGTATATCTAACAGTGGCCTTCCAGCCACATGCATGGCTAATGAACACTGTCTCCACCACTCTGCTGTTAGCCTCACACGCCCAGCAGACACAGTTAAAGCCAGGAGCGATCTGTCAGCCTCTACACCTACAGATGTAGGATCTTAATTTGAGCCAGTTTGCTACAGCAGGAAAATAGTCCTGCAGTAACAGAAAATGTGAATTATTATGTGGATTCTAATTAATCAAAAATGTTGTAGGGGTTGATACATTATTCGTAAGGGAAAATCAAGTCTGAAATTTCAAAGTGGAAATTGCAAACTTCAGTAGCCTTTTTAAACTTAAAAGTTATCCTGCAACAGGGTGATCAAATTAAGATCCTGCATCTGTACACAGACAGACATACACACAGGCAACATTGTTTCTTTGTCTCCACCCTATACAGGACGTGCCAATCATTGGTCAGCCCTCATCGGGGCGTCCCACTCCAGGAGCTATGTCCTGTGGGAGTACGGTGGCTTTGCCAGCGAAGGGGTGAAACAGGTAGCAGAGCTGGGGTCTCCAGTTAAGATGGAGGAGGAGATAAGACAGAAGGTAGGTCCTCAAAAACATCATGGGTTCCGAACTGTTCATGTTTGCTGATCCGCTATATCTGATCTTTAGACAAAAAGTGTATTGGATCTGACTTTCTGATGTCTTAATGTGCCTGTCTCCGCCTCTGAAACAGCATGTCAAAGGTTGATCAGTTAATGGAAGGCCCTTTCTGGCATATTAATGAAATACACAAGTCTGTATATTGGCTGATCTGCACCGCTCTGCTATTTAGTGCTAATTCCCTGCTCTTGGGTGACATGGCAACAATAGTGTTGAGGCCAGGGACAAATGAGATGCAGATGGGCATTATGGGATGGCTGTGGAGGAGCGGTGGCATGGCTAATGGAGGGAGAGGTGAGTAAGGATGGCCACCTCACAGAGAATCTTAAAGACATTACTGATTTGAAATAGTCATGAAATTCAATTGGGATAGAATTACACTGGAAACAGATTAGTTAATGGTGCTGGCTGTAGGTCTGGGAGTATCATTGGTCTGTCAGAAATATTTTTGCCATGACAGCCGGAATTATGAGCACAATAGCTGGCTGTGGCTCAAAATTGCTGGGTTTTCATGAATAAACAAGTTGTAAGTGTGATGAGGGCTTGGCCACTCACTGGCCAATCAACACATTCCATGGCTTAATACTGCATGCTTTAGTCTCAAGTTCTTTAGGTTATTTGTTTTATTTTATTTAACCTTTATTTATCCAGGTTAGTCTCATTGAGATCAAATACATTTTTCAAGAGAGACCTGGTCCAACCAAGACAGCAGCAGGGGGGGGAAATGTTTCAGACAAATATCAGACATAACAGTTTACAGACATAGACACACCATAAACAGAATTTAGACATAGACACACATACATTACAATTACAGAAACATACAAGCGTTCTAGATACAAATCTATCATATGTACCACCGCATGAAGTCCTAATGACGATCACATTCCTCAGTAACATGTGAGTCAACCAAACTTTTAAACTCCAAGAAAACAAGATCCTGGAGTTTCAAGCTGGTCTGGAGAGAATTCCAAGACCACAGAGCTGAGTAACTAAAACACTTTTTGACATGATCTGTTCTGACTTTAGGAACCGTTAAAAGTAAGTAGGAGTGAGACCTTAAATGGTAGTTTTCCCAAAATGGCCTTATAGATCATGGTATGCCAATGTTTAAGCCAACGTAGAGTCAACGAAGACCAGCCAACAGCACTATAGAGATCACAGTGATGTCAAACGCTTTTTATTGGTAATAAACCTAAGGGCTGCATGATACCTTGTCTGCAGCTAATTGTAGTAGGCGGGGGTCTAGATAATCAGGGGCATATTTTTTTTAAAATTTTTTTTTTTTTTTTACATTAATTGCTTTCAGGGCTCTATGCACCTCTGAGATAGAGAAAGGTTAGAAGGAGAACCTGGAGAAGGAGTGCTCAGGAGTGTGAGGTCATTTCACAGGGGGCTCACTTTGACCTTTAACCCTATTAAATAATTTGCCTGCATCAAGAAAATGCTGATGAAAAGAGTTCAGAATATAGTTTTTCTCAGTTACCACCTGTGAGTCTACCAGCAGTTGTTTAGGAAGCTGTGCATCTTTTTTGCACTCCAAACCGAACTTTGTAAGGATTATTCAGATTATCAGCAGTAGATTTGAGGTAGTGGTCTGCTTTCAGCTTTCGGGTCAAAGCTACACCCTGATTCATTCTAAATGCGTTTAAAAGCCATCCATCAGCTGAATCAGAGCCTCTTATTGACTGTCTTTGCATTGTCATCAACTCCAATTCAGCTGGGGGCACGGACTATTCTCGTCCTGGTCTATTGTGGATTGATACTACAGTTTACTAAATAGCGTAGACGACAGTAATGAGTAATAGCAACAGTAAAAAAAAAAAAAATGTTTGCTCAATAGTCTATGTTTGGAGTGTTGGCAGTCAACATTTTTGTAAATGGCCTCAAGGAGCCTACATTTTTTTTATTTAACTAGGCAAGTCAGTTAAGAACAAACTCTACATGTCTTTATGCATCACACTTCTTCTAAAATAGAAAACACTAGGCTCCTGTAAATGTTATATTATGTGTAAGGCATGTTCTCAATAAGCAAAATATAGCCTCGGCCTACCGTTGATACTGCATTATAGGACAGAATAATTGTTATATGTTTGGAGGAGCGCGTCTTTGGTAACCGGATGAGATGCGCTATTTGGAGATGGGGATGGATACTTGAACAAACAAAATGAAGTATGCAGATGTGAAACGGAAAACAAGCAATCTGTTTTTTAAAACAACAATATTTATTAATAGGATGGGGTCAGAAGCATGAAATCATACATTGCTTTATGCATAACATTTGCACGTCTATACAAAATACTAGGCTCCTGTCAATTGTATCGTGACCTATGTGTTCAGGCAGATTCTCAAAAAACAGACGAGGGGCGATTTTTGAAAATGGGGATGGATAGCCTACTTGAACAAGCAAAATGCAGGTATGTGAATTGTGAATAATGAAAAAGCATGAGGACAAAAACCTCCAAAATATTTCAAAGCACTCTCAGTAGACCATTTAAAACCCCTTTATTCATAGGCTACTTGGCGAATGGCCAGAATAAAATATGCACCTATGCAATGCTGCTAAACCAGCCTTGATTAAGGGAAGGGTTGGCTATGCTTGGTTTATAATCAAATTAAACAAAATAGTGAAGAGGCGACTTCGGGATGCTGACCTTCTAGGCAGAGTTGCAAAGAAAAAGCCATATCTCAGACTGGCCAATAAAAAGAAAAGATTAAGATGGGCAGTCTGAGATATGGCTTTTTCTTTGCAACTCTGCCTAGAAGGTCAGCATCCCAGAGTCGCCTCTTCACTGTTGACGTTGAGAGTGGTGTTTTGCAGGTACTATTTAATGAAGCTGCCAGTTGAGGACCTGTGAGGCGCCTGTTTCTCAAACTAGACACTCTAATGTATTTGTCCTCTTGCTCAGTTGTGCACCGGGGCCTCCCAAGCCTCTTTCTATTCTGGTTAGAGCCAGTTTGCGCTGTTCTGTGAAGGGAGTAGTACACAGCGTTGTACGAGATCTTCAGTTTCTCTGTAATTTCTCACATGGAATAGCCTTCATTTCTCAGAACAAGAATATACTGACGAGTTTCAGAAGAAAGTTCCTGGCCATTTTGAGCCTGTAATCGAACCCACAATTGCTGATGCTCCAGATACTCAACTAGTCTCAAGAAGGCCAGTTTTATTGCTTTTTTAATCAGCACAACAGTTTTCAGCTGTGCTGACATAATAGGGTTTTCTAATGATCAATTAGCCTTTTAAAATAATAAACTTTACGTTAGCAAACACAACGTGCCATTGGAACACAGGACTGATGGTTGCTGATAATGAGCCTCTGTACGCCTATGTAGATATTCCATAAAAAATCAGCCATTTCAAGCTACAATAGCCATTTACAACATTAACAATGTCTACACTGTATTTCTGATCAATTTGATGTTATTTTAATGGCCAAAAAAATTGCTTTTCTTTCGGAAACAAGGACATTTCTAAGTGGACCCCAAACTTTTGAATGGTAGTGTAAGTCAAAACTGTAACTCGGCCACTCAGGAACATTCACTGTCTTTTTGGTTAGCAACTGAAGTGTAGATTTGGTCTTGTGTTTTAGGTTATTGTCCTGAAAGGTGAATTCATCTCCCAGTGTCTGGTGGAAAGCAGACTCAACCAGGTTTTCCTAAAGGGATTTTGCCTGTGCATAGCTCCGTTTCTTTTGCATCCTGGTAAACTCCCCAGTCCTTAATTGATGCACCATCCAAAGTGTAATTAATAGATGCCCTTCTTTGCGAGGCATTGGAAAACCAACCTGTTTTTGTAGTTGAATCTGTGTTTGAAATTCACTGCTCGACTGAGGGACCTTACAGATAATTTTATGTGTGGGGTACAGAGATGAGGTAGTCATTCAAAAATCATGTTAAACACTATTATTGCACACAGTGAGTCCATGCAACGTATTATGTGACTTGTTAATGCTAATTTGTACTCCTGAACTTATTTAGGCTTGCCATAACAAAGGGGTTGAATACTTGACTTAAGACATTTCAGCTTTTCATTTTTATTAATAAAAAATAAAAAATGGAAGAGAAAAATGTCCACTTTGACATTATGGGGTACTGTGTGTAGGCCATTGACAAACAAATCTCTATTAAATCAATTTTAAATTCAGGCTGTAACACAACATGTGGAAAAAGTCAAGGGGTGTGAATACTTTCTTAAGGCACTGTATCACATGCCTTACTTTTATTTTCTTGCAGAAGTAAAAGCACAAAATGCGTCACCTATGCCTCAAGTGCCATTCATTCCAGTTAGACTGGTTTGCATTTCTTCCTGACCACAATGGCTGCCATTTTAGGGACAAAAATTACAAAAGAAAAGGAGAGAATGAAGAACCTTAATCTTTCCCCAGTTGTCTCAGCTATAAAAAAATAAAATAGGTTCAACTCATGGTTCGGCAGAGATTTATCCATTCGGGGAAGAGTTTTGCTGACTAAGGTTGAGGGCTTGTCTAGAGCCTCTTATGTGTTCTCTTGTCTTGACAGTCCCAAATCTACAGCTGAAGTCGGAAGTTTACATACACTTAGGTTGGAGTCATTAAAACTCGTTTTTCAACCACTCCACAAATTTCTTGTTAACAAACTATAGTCTAGTGGGTCAGAAGTTTACATACACTAAGTTGACTGTGCCTTTTAAACAGCTTGGAAAATTCCAGAAAATGATGTCATAGCTTTAGAAACTTCTGATAGGCTAATTGACATAATTTGAGTCAATTGTAGGTGTACCTGTGGATGTATTTCAAGGCCTACCTTCAAACTCAGTGCCTCTTTGCTTGACATCATGGGAAAATCAAAAGAAATCAGCCAAGACCTCAGAAAAAAAATGGTAGACCTCCACAAGCCTGGTTCATCCTTGGGAGCAATTTCCAAACGCCTGAAGGTACCACGTTCATCTGTACAAACAATAG